CTTCTTCTACCTTGCGTCACCGCCGATGACCGGAGGCCGGCCTCGCCGTCGCTGCTAGGTTTGGCGACGGCGAGGCCGGCCTCGCCATGGCCGAGCGAGGCTCGACCTCGCCCAACCATGGCGAGGCTGACCTCACCATCGCCAAACCCAGCGACGGCGAGGTCGGCCTCGCTGTCGCTGAGGCCAAGCGGCCGGCCGTGGCCGGTGGCCGGCCTCCGATCACCGGCGATGACCGAAGAAGAAGAAGAAAAAAAAAGAAAAAAGAAAAGAAAGAAAAAAAAATTCAAAAAAAATATTTAAAAAATCCAAGTGTGCATGCTAAACTACGTCGTTTTGATGTGTACATGCTGACTGAGCATGTTGACTCAACCTCCGGCGAGCCACATCGGCTTCAAAAATTAATAAAAAAATGCCACGTCGGATTTCCGGCCAAACTGACCGGAGTTGACACTTAAGTGATCGTTTTTCAAAATATTTGGCACTAAAGTGAGCGCCGTACACAAGTTTTGGCACTTCTGCTATTCTTCTCCCGATTCTATTGTCAATGCAAGACACCTGTCATTCTTTGATCTGTCACGCACGCCAATTGTGCAATTTTCAATTTCCATTGGAGAGCTTATGCGACTCAAGTTCCTTTCATTCGATGACTGTGAAAGTTTGAGTGAGCTTCCAGAATCAATAGGCAACTTGACATCATTACAGGAGTTCAATATATCAAGGACAAAGATTGTTGAGTTACCTATTTCGATAAAAAATCTCAAGCAATTGAAGGTGATGAGGATGGAACATAGTCTAATAAGGAGGTTACCTACCAGTATTGGAATGTTAGAGAGGCTGGAGAATCTCCATGCCTCTAGTTGTGGACAACTTGCAGGCGAACTTCCCACTGAAATTGGCAAACTATCATGTTTAACTATTCTCGACATATCACATACTTGTGTTTGTGTAGTGCCGACGTCAATCAAATCCCTCACGCGACTCCAAAAGCCGAATTTAAACAATTGTAATGAGCCTCAACAGTTGCCAAAGCTACCCTCGAGTTTGAACTATCTATATGTTGAATCGACATCATTGCGGTTAGTTTCGGATCTCAATAACCTCACGAATCTAGTGGAATTGACTTTGTCTAACGGCTTTGGACAAGCACCTGCTCAGGCATCAAACCCAATGCGAACTCTTCAATTGCAATGGGTTGGAAAGTTATCTAACCGAGAAAAGTTGAGCTGGGGCCTTTCAGATGTTCCTGTGCCGTTAACGGAGCTGAGTTGCCTACCTCGACTTGGAGAACTCACTTTATCCTGCACCAACAGTTTCGACTCAATAGTTGTTGGGCCACAAGTTTCCAACTTGAGAAATTTTTCCAGATTGTGTCTTTATAGCAGTCCACTGAGGGAAATTCAACTTGATGGGCTTGAAATATTGAGAGTTTTGCTGGTGACCAATTGCTAGTTTATCGAGGGATTGTCAATTATTTCATCAAGCATGAGGAAGCTCATGAAATGAGCGTTCAAGGTTGCCCAAAGCTACTTGAAATTCGATTTCTCAGTACGATGGAATCAATGGAGAGACTTAGCGTTGGATGGTCCAGTTCCGTGAGAGGGTTGTGGGGTTTATCAAACGCGAAGAAGCTGAAGACTTTACTTTTCCAAATGTGCGATGGGCTGCTGGTTGTTGAGGGCCTTAATGAATTGGAGCTTTTGAGAAGTTTGCATTGTGACGGGTGTGAATCGTTGGAAAGTTTGATTGATGTATCCATCTCAAAGATACCAAATGAATGCAAGTTAGAAGTAAAGAATTGCACGAAACTAGGAGATCATTACGGTTTCTGCAGGTGCTACAAAGAGACGATTCTTTACAGGATGAGGAAGACATTCAATGGAGGTGCGCCTTCCTACTTTGCTTAACTTTTTCTCATATATTTTTATTTTTCAGAAACGCACGTAGTAGGCATTACTTTTCGTCATTTTCGCTTGTTCCGTTTGCTTGCTTCTCTCTCTCGAATGTATTAATTCATTTAGAATACTCTTTATATAAATCTATGGATTATCATTAGGTCTATCGTAAAAGAAACGTTCATTATTTTATGGTTTTTTTTTGTCAGAATTTTATGGTTGACATGCGTATCTGGAGTAAGTTTTATAATCATCCACACGTTAACCATCCAATGATGAGTACGTAAATTATACCTTACATTGACATAATAAAAAAAATTATATATAATGAAAACGTTCGTGTCAATATTTTACCAATCAAAAAATAAAAAAACTCGTGCATGGGCACAAATGCAGAAACTCAACTGCTCTTGGTTGTTTGAATAGAATTCCTCTAAACAACTACACTTTTCCTTTAAAATTCAACGTAAAAAGATATATATATATATATATATATATATATATGTGTGTGTGTGTGTGTGTGTGTGTGTGTGTGTGTGTGTGTGTAAATTAATGAAGCTAACTCAGTTTTGGTATATCTTTTTGCACTTTTTTTTCCTTTTTCATGGCTCACCTGGTCCTCGTGTCCTTTGCGCGTTAGCAAGTTACCAAGTGTTATTCCTAGGAAAGGTTGACTGATCTATCCAACACAAGGATACCAGACGAGTGCAACATGCAAGTTCTGCGTTTCCCCTGTTCCATTTGCCCCCATATATAACTCTCTGTCTCTCTCTTCTCCAACATACTTGCCTCATAAATTATGAACATTTCATACAGAAATAAAACTGTCTGCTGCACCTAAAATAAGAGTCATTAACGAGAGGTACCTTTCTGGAAAAATCAAAATGACAAGGTAAGCCACAGCGACCATTATTTATTGAGAATTTTTATGGAAAGAAAATAAACTTGTACCAAATAAGATGAGACAGTGTATACATTTAGTGCGACAGCATTGCGGGCTCGCCTACACATTAGTGTACGAACGTGCATTGCACCTTTAATTGTTAGTGGGATGGTAACTCACTAATGGGTCATCCAACCCACTTGACAGTAGTCATTGCAACTACGGATCAATTATGTCATGCAAGTGACAGTAGACTCTGTAATTGGCCCATTTTTATCTTAAGCAATCGTCAATCCTCTCACGCTATCCTGGTCCTGTGTGATCTCACTGGCATTCTTCAAATCCATCATGAGTGTGTTAAACTCATCTAAGTGGACTGTGATGGAAGTGCCTTCAACATATTGAAACTGAATTATCTTTAACATATATGGGAATTATTTAAACTCTTCGTTACATAGAGAGTCTAAAGGTTTTGTCCACAACGTTGCAGCATTTTTCTCCTCGACCACTTCTATTAACATATCATCAGATAGATTCAACAGAATTATACTGTTTACCCTCTTTATAAACTCATCTTTATCGGCATTCTAGCAACTGAGCTTTACCATCCAATGCCTTGGTCGAACCTTGGTTATTATTAGTGCGCGCATCTCCCTTCACCACCCAAGTTGTTCATTTTGTTAAACTTCTTAATTTCTATTTTTTCTTCAAACAAAATTGCAACGACAAAATTTCTAGACAACGATCAAACAAACAAAAGCTACAAATCAAAACCAAAAAAATCATAGCCTTAGCTTTTAAACTATTTGTTGTAAAATTAATGCAAAAGCTAATCAAATCTTGCCATCAAATCAACGCGAGAGAATGAAATAACCAAGTAAATCAATGAGGAATAAAAAAGAACAGAAGAGATCTATGTAGTTCAGTTTGAGTCCTGCTACACGGGGAGAGTCGGTTGTAAATAATCCACTAATCAAATGGAGAATTTCAAAGTACAATAGTCCACAAGCTCAAGTACTTCCCCTCCCAGCGCTAGGTTACATCCAAACCCACGGTGTTTAGAGCTACGGAGAATTAGCTCGAAACACTTACGTCTACACACAGAAGATGCAAGATGTAAACTCTTCGCACACAAAAAGATTACCGTGTGTTCCTCTTCCTCCGTGTGGCTGAAAGGAGAGGAACTCCACCTTTTTTTTTTCTTTTTGGCGGGGCTAATTGACCCCGCAAGTGTATATAAAAGACCAAAAGAAGACCCTCCTCCATGCACAATATGAACAGAGAGCATAAGAAGTCGAACCGATCAAACTTAGATAATCTTCTCCAACAAAAACCAAAATCAAGCTTCCACGGCTCAAGAAATCCAAATTTGACTCGGATTGAAGCGCGCAATGCATTTGAACAGATTAAAATTCTCCAAACAGGTCGGTTTCATGCACTGTTCAAAAATGAGAAAGCGACCGTGCGGCTTCCTCCCTCTCACAGTTGCTGCGCTTCCGTTTTCCTCTCTTGCTTTGCGACGCTCATTCTCTCTCCCTTATTTTCCTCTCTTCTTTACGTCTCCCTCTCCCCTCTCTCTCTCCTTTTTTTTTTTTTTTCTCTTTCTTTCCTTTGTCTTCTTATGCCCTCATTTTCTTCTTCCTTGTCCCGCATGTTCCCCTCCTTTTGACTAAACTCTCTCCTTTTCCTTTTCCCCCTTTTTCTCAATTATTACACCTCCCGTTGACGTTGTGACGAGAAGTCTCTTACGTTTGCAGGGAGACTTAGTGTCGAAGGACACGAGCTGCTGCAGCAAAATGTTGATTCTGATTTGGGATTGGCCGTAAAGATCCAACTGGCGGGTTCAGTTTAGCCGATCGTGAATAGGCGTGCTTGGCCTCTAGTAACACTGTCTTGGATATTTGGGCAGTTACTATTCATGTTCTGCTTGGAGCTGATGTTGTTGCCTGAGCAGTTTGCTAGTATTATCTGCAATGGTTTGCTGAAATTAATCACTTGTTTGTGACTTGTACTGGGTTCGGCTCCCCAGCTTAGTTTGATGAAGAAATGAATTTAACTTACCCATATAATAAAGTTGAATTTGGGAAAGATATGTCGACCTTGACAGCGACATACGTCCCTGTCTGAACAGGGACGTTGTCAGTGTCCTCTCTTTTTCATTTAAGCATCGCTGTGCGATCCTGGCCGAAAGCAAGAGGCTTTTGACGGATTCCTAGACATCGGCTTGTGCATTCACATGCTCTCTACTTTTTAACACCGCCGGCGACGCAGCTCCAAGTCCGAGCAAGCAAACACCAGAGCGAGACGAGAGACCTTTTGCGAGGGAAATTCCCCAAAAACATGGAAGCACCCTGTGGTTCCGGCGCGTCGGCGACCCAGTACGACGTGTTCCTGAGCTTCAGAGGACCCGACACTCGCAACACCTTCACCGACTGCCTCTACCGGACCATGGTCGGCCAGGGGATCATTGCCTACAGAGACAGTGAAGAGCTTCATGCCGGTGATCGGATCGACGATCTCCTGACAGCGGTCGGCGACTCCAAGATCTGCATACCGGTCCTCTCCAGAGGCTACGCTTCGAGCCCTTGGTGCCTCCGCAAGCTCGCTCGTGTGACAGAGCTCAACGAATCAACCGGGAAGCCAGCGATCCTACCCATCTTCTTTGACGTCACGCCCTCTGACGTCAAGGTCAGGACGGAACTGTACGTGGAGGACTTGGAGAAGCACGAGCGGAGGCATGGCAGCGAGATCAGGCAACGGTGGGAGGCGGCTCTGAGAAAAGTGGCTGAGATCAAGGGATGGGAAGTACAAGGGAAAGCGTAAGTAAATGCTTATTAATGGAACTCGTTTCAAGATTCAGTCGAAATGCTATTCTCTTATTTTCTCGTAAATGGTAGTGAAAACAAGCTGGAGTGGTTCAACATTCATATAAAATATATGAGTCAATATGATCTAATTCTAGAATGATGTCTGTAATTTGGACCACATATAAACATCTTTCTTTCTTAGAAATAGGTGGAATTGTAAGTTTATCGGCATCGCACCAATCATATCCTCCGGAGTCTATTACACCAAAATTCTTCTAGCTTTATAGAATTAACCCGAGACTTGAAATAGTAATCCTACTCAAATGCTATCTGCTAGGTAGTGGTAGTGAGATTGTTATGTGTTTTCTTTTACTAAAAGTATTTGGTTTGTGGCAGACACGGCGAAGTCATTGATCTCGTTGTGAAAGAGGTTCTGCATAAGCTTAAAGTGAAACAAAGACCTCTGGACACCAAATTGGTCGGGGTAGACGAACAAGTAGAAGCCATAATGAAGTTGTTAGATGATGACTCCAGCACTGGTGTGCGTTCCGTTGGAATCCATGGAATGGGTGGGATCGGTAAAACTACTCTCGCTAAGATTGTTTTCAATGAATTATGTCCTCGCTTTGATGGCCGATGCAGCTTCATTGAGGACATCCGAGAACAATCAAACACAATTGGCCTAGTAAATCTGCGGCAAAAGTACACCACAAGTGCCATAACTTGTGTACGGCGATCACTTTTGTCACGCCCCGTACCCCACGAAGCATGAACATCCGCGTATAGGTCGAAATAAGGTACGACGCTCCCAGGTTACGTCACCGACCCGAAAACCCAAATCAGAGAAAACACGCCACATGCGGAAACGACGTATATATATTATATATATACACCCAGACAATTTAAAAGCAACCATGAGTAGCACAAGCCAACAAAATTCAAACGATTAAAAACAACATATACATTCATTATAACACTTATATATACAATATCCATTATAAACAAGAAATACAACAAAAGGGCCACGAGTACAAAACGGGATCGGTAGCCTAGGGGAATTGGCTAACCACTAGAGGCTACAGTCAAAAAGGGGGTCGGCCCTCACACCTAAGGCTGAGACCTAAACTACGGTTCCCAGTCTGGATCGGAGCTCGACGACTCCGAGGAACTCTCGGACTGCTCCGGCTTCTCCTCGGAAGTCATAGCCTCAAACTCTGTCTCGGGCTCGGCCTCAAAATTCATGGCTGGGGATCTGAAATGTCGGTTTTACCACAACCGTGAGAAATCTCAGCAAGTACAAACCACTAATCCTAAACTAGGCTAATGTGCACCTCCAGAAGGGTAAATAAAACGCATCAACCAATGAACCGGTAAAACAACGTTAATACATTCCCGGCTCACCGCCTTATACATTATCTTAGCCCTGCAGGTTAGGCATTTGATATCAATATAAGTCAAGTGCAATTATACCGACCCGAAGGCCCACAGTTGGATATAACGACCCGTAGGCCCGACCCGAAGGCCACAGTTGATAAAACGACCCGTAGGCCCGACCCGAAGGCCACAATTGATTATAACGACCCGTAGGCCCGACCCGAAGGCCACAATTGATTATAACGACCCGTAGGCCCAACCCGAAGGCCACAGTTGATAAAACGACCCGTAGGCCCGACTCGAAGGCCAACAGTTGATAAATCGACCCGTAGGCCCGACCCAAAGGCCACAATTGATTATAACGACCCGTAGGCCCGACCCGAAGGCCAACATTGGATAAAATTCATACATGTACATTAAGCACCCAATTTCAATCATACCACAACGTACTTTTGTAAACCACGTGCCCGGGAATTTAAAGTTAATTATCGATGCCAAAACACCAAGCATAACCATGCTCAAATTAGACATATTCCTCTCATTCTTGGCATACCCAAGCATTTCTATTCTAATCCAATCAATTCCAAGTTCATTCCGCGCATTCATTACACAAATCAATCTAATGCGCCTAAGGCCCGTCTTGGACTAATCGATCTTACAATCATGAGGTCATTCAATAGGGTTTATTCAAGTCCCAATCAACCCCCAAGAATATCCAAACTCAAACCATAGTCAAAGAACCATTTAAATCTCAATTTGAACCAAAAAGTGCAATTCGGTCCTGGTGAACAGTACCAGAACCGAATTTCACATATGCACTAAACCACCTTTAGACCATCTCATTAGGGCCTAATCACTTACCCTAATCATCCAACCATCAAATATACATAATTAAGCCTCAAATAAGCTTAATTAACACTTGAATTGTCTAATTCCAAGCCTTGAATCATTGAATTCAATTAGTGAAAAATTTAGACAAATATGCACATTTTCGGTACTTTGTGAACAGTACCAGAACAAGGGGCTGTTTAGGCCTTAATCCACCATTAAATCATCTCATTAGGTCCTAATGACTCATACAAAACGTCCCACACACAATTAAGCCTAATTAACCCTCAATTAGGCCTAATTAACCCCTAAAAATGCACAATTAAACTAATTAGGGGTTTAGGGGTTTATACTCGCCTATTAACGACTCGGGACGACGGGAACGGGCGGTCGATCACCGACGCGCGGTAAGGATCGACGGCGGCGTTCCGGGTGCAAGCCGGCGGTCCGCGGCGACACCGACGGAGGCGATTTGCTGCTGTTTTTCTTTTGCTTTGGCTGAAACCGGGGCTGATGGTGGCTGCTCTTGGGCGAAACTAGCTGCTGGTGGTGCTGGCTCGGCGGGGACAGCTCCGGCTGGTACTGTTCCGGTGTGAACAGTACCAGAATGGACAGAACCGTGCACGCCAGAAACAGAAACGGGAAAAGAAATTCACGGGGAAGGGGAGGAGGAGAATGGCTCGGCAGATCAGAACAGAATGGGAGAGAGAGAGAGAGAGAGAGAAATGTCTGGTCAAATAGGTCAACAAAGTGTGGGTGGAATCCAAGTGTCATTAATCCATAGCATTTGACACTTTTGCCCCTAATCCAATGGCCCAAATTTGATCCAATCCAATAATGTAGGGGTAAAATGGTCATTTGTCCTTAACCCAAGCTGACCAGACCTGGTTTAGCCTTAACCAACCTTGGTTAAATCCCAAAAATTAACCAATTTTCGGAATTACTCAAAAATGGCCTAGGGGCATTTTTGTAATTTTCCAATCCCGAACCGAAATTCCAATTTTCGCACATACGTGTTCCATATGTGCGTGGCCAACATAATATGGCGTCGGATCCGCGAAATTCATTCTTTAACCTCTCGAAAACTGACTGTAAAGTTTCGAGAATAAAATAATATTATTTTTCCAATTTTTGTCGAAATTCCTATTTTTGTCCATAACGACTCCCGGTATGCGTGGCCACCCAAAAATGGCATCGGCCTCGAAAAATAACCTCGCTTGGCCTCAGAAATGGACATCGAAGTCCCCAGGGGCAAAATTGTAATTTTCCCCAATTTATGTCGAAATTTCCGTTTTCATCCATATTACTCCCAAACATGTGTGGCCACTATAAAATGACGTCCGTCTTGCAAAATAGTCGTAATTACCCTTGAAATTTTGATATCGAAGTTCAGGCTCAATATTGCGATCAAAATAACTCGTTTCGAAGTCTTAGGGCCTCTCACTAACGGGCGGCTGTTTAGGTGTTACGCGTATCGACCTAGGATTGTCCGAGTCATGATGGCCTCAAATTTCGAGAGAACGAGAGGAATTATCACTAGTACCGGGGGTCGCGATCGTTTGGATTAAAATCGGGGTTCGTTAGTCAGGCGTACTTTCGGTCGTGCGGAATCACCCGCGATCCGATCGTACGTATCTGACTATATCAATCCGTCATTTTCCTAAGATCGGCCCATATTGGTCCAAAATATTCCCTCGATGTTTCTCGAACTCGGCACTCAATCGCGATCGGGTCCTTGGTCCACGTACCTGATCCTATTTAGCCTTTCCCATTTGGGTAGTATCCCGTGATTGATCAAGTCCGGGCGACACTTACTAAAATCAAACGAGAATTAATACACACTTTATTGATCCCGATAACAGATCAAAATTCAGGATGTTACAACTTTGGTGCCATAACTTTTTTTCGGATCACTTTGGTGCCAACTTTTTTGAAAATCGATCACTTTAGTGCCAATGCTGACGTGGCTCGCCGGAAATCCGATGTGGCGCTGACATGGCTCGCCGGAGAGGTCCACGGCTCGCCGGAGAGGTCCAGTCAGCATTAAAAATCAAAAACGACGCCGTTTAGCCCGCTGACGTGTATTTTTTTAAAATATTATATTTTATTTATTTAATTAATTAATTAATTAAAAAAAAAAGCCCTGCAGCAACGGTGAGGGAGCCCTCGCCGCTGCTGCCGCCAAGCCACCACCGCCGGGAAGGGCCGGCGGTGGTGGGCGCAGTGGTCGGCGAGGGTCGCCGGCCCCTGGCCGGGGCTCGACAACCCTCGCCGACTCCCGGTGACCCTCGCGCCTCGCCGGCGAGGGCCGGATCCGGCGAGGCGAGACCTCGCCATCGCTCGGGTCGCGACGGCGAGGTCTCGCCTCGCCTTCGTCGGGCAAGGCCGCGCCCGGGTCGCGACGGCGAAGGCGAGGCGTGGCCTCGCCTAGCGAGGCGAGGCGAGACCTCGCCGTCGCGACCCGTGCGACGGCGAGGTCTCGCCTCACCGGATCCGGCCCTCGCCGGGCTAGGCGAGGGTTGCCAAGCCCGGGCCAAGGGCCGGCGACCCTCGCCGACCACTGCGCGCCCACCACCGCCGGCCCTTCCCGGCGGTGGTGGCTTGGCGGCAGCAGCGGCGAGGGCTCCCTCGCCGCTGCTGCAACACCTTTTTTTTTTTGTTTTTTTTAATTATTTTAATTATTATTTTTTTTCTAAAAATTAAAAAATTCGAAAAAAAGCCATGTAATTTTCACCGTGTACAAGTCAGACCATTTTTTTTTTAATATAAATGCCATGTCAGCTTTTTGGCCGAAGTCACTAAAGTGATCGATTTTCCTCCGACTTGGCACCAAAGTGATCCGAAAAAAAATTATGGCACCAAAGTGATCGCCGTACACAAGTCATGGCACTTGTGATGTACTTTTGCCGTAAATCTGCAGAAACAATTGGCATCCGACATCTCTGATTTTAGATTTATAGACAATTTTAGTAACACTGATGAAGGGATACATAGCATAACAAGGAGAGCTAGTTCTAAGAAAGTTCTTGTTGTTCTAGATAATCTAAACAAGAAAGAACAACTTAAGAAACTAATGGGGAGGCTTGACGCTTTTTGTTCTGGGGGTAGGATTATTATTACAACGAGGGATAAGCGCATTCTAGATGAAGAGATGGGAATGTTAGCTTATGAAGTAAAGCAGATGGATCTTGATAAAGCGCTAGAGCTTTTCGCTTGGCATGCTTTTCGAAGCGTCTCTCCTCCTGACACTCATCAGAGTCTCTCTAGAGAAGTTGTATCTTCAACCAGGGGACTCCCATTGGCTCTTGAAGTCATAGGTTCCTCTCTTCATCGTAAAGGAACAAAAATATGGGAAGAAATGCTAGAAAGATTGAAGAAAGCACCTCATAATGAAGTCTGAGAAACGTTGAAGATAAGTTACGATGCATTAGGAGATATGGAAAAAGAAATTTTTCTCGACATCGCATGCTTCTTCATAAATGAAAAGAAATCAAGCGCAACCTATTTCTGGGATGCTTGCGATCTATTCCCACATATCGCATTGGAAGAACTTACTGATTTGTGTCTAATTAAAATTGTTAATGGTGAATTTATATGAATGCATGATCAACTGAGAGACCTTGGAAGAGACATCGTTCGCCAAGAATGTACCCGGAATTTGACAGGGCGCAGTAGGTTTTGGAATGGTGAAGAAGCTCTAAAAGTACTAAGGTCGAAAGAGGTAAAGTAAAAGTAGGATCCACACAGTATCAACTGTACAATTACTTTCATGCTTCCCATTTGAAAGTTTCCTTTGGCCATTCTGAAGGAAAAATTCAATGTTTGCAAGCTCATACTCATTGATGGTTTCTATTGGCAGAGAAAGGATAAAGTTCAAGCACTCAATCTAGTTCAACTTTCTTGGGATCCCATCAGCATTGTGGATGCAGAACTTGAGAGGATGCCGAATTTGAAATTCCTCGAGTTAAGAGCAGGGACTTTTGTTGGAGACATCAACAATCATCTCTTGGAGCTAAGATGGCTCTCTTGGGATTATCCTCCTCTATATCGTAAAATGGCCAATCTGCACTTGAAAATTTTAGCAGTTTTCAAACTTTCAAACCTTAAAAATAGTGAAGACTGGGGTGGATGGAACATTTTGAAGGTGTGAATTTGTACTTATGTCCTCACAACATAGTATTCTCTCTTTGATCCTCACTAATACTATTTCAGCGACTTTTGCAGATGGCAAACAAATTGAAAGCTCTTTCACTCTCATATTGTAGTGGATTGAAACAGACTCCAGACTTCTCCAAATGCCTAAGTTTGGAGAGATTGTCTCTCCATTACTGTCAAAACCTGCAAGAAGTTGACTCCTCTATTCGGAAGCTAAAAGGTCTTACTCACTTAGACATTATTTGGTGTACGAGCCTTCAAAATTTGCCTGAAGAGATTTTGAGAACTGGTGAGTCTAAAGCACTTCTCTATTAGACAGTTCAACAAAATTGAGAAACTTCCGTTCTCTATCAGGAAATTAGTATCATTGTCTGAGTTGGATATATCACACACAAAAATTACAAGTTTACCTGATTTTATTGACAATGCAAAACACCTGTTATTCCTTAATCTATCAGAGACGCCAATTGTGGAACTTCCAAGTTCTATTGGAGAGCTTATGCAACTCGAGTTCCTTTCACTCCGTCAATGTCAAAGTTTGGGGGAGCTTCCAAAATCAATAGGCAACTTGACATCATTACAGACGTTGGATATCTCAAGGACAAACATTGTTGAGTTACCTAATTCGATAAAAAACCTCAAGCAACTGAAGGTGATGAGGATGGAAAGTAGTCCGATAAGGAGGTTACCTACCAGTATTGGAACGCTAGAGAGGTTGGAGGAGCTCAATGCATATCGTTGTTACCAACTTGCAGCCGAACTTCCCACTGAAATCGGTGGCCTATCGTCCCTCCAAAAGCTGGATATAACATATTGCAATAAGCTTCGAGAGTTGCCAAAGCTACCCTCGAGTTTGAACTGTCTACTTGTTCGATCGACATCATTGTGGTTAGTTCCGGATCTCAGTAACCTCACGAATCTGGTGGAATTGCATCTGTCTAACCTTGGACAAGAATTTGCCCAGGCAAGCCCGATGCAAAGTCTTCCATTGCAATGGGTTGGAAAGTTATCCAAGCTGAAGAAGTTGAGCTGGGGCCTTTCAAATATTCCTGTGCCATTGACGGAGTTGGGTTGCCTACCTCAACTTAGAGATCTCACTTTATCTTGCATGGATAGTTTCGACTTACTAGTTGTTGGACCACAACTTTCCAACTTGAAATATTTGACCAGATTGTGTCTTTATCGCTGTCCACTGAGGAAAATTCAACTCGATGGGCTTGAACTATTGAGAGATTTGGACGTGAGAGCATGCGAGTTTCTCGAGGGATTGTCAATTATTTCATCGAGCTTGAGGAAGCTCCGCGAAATGGGAGTTTCATATTGCCCGAAGGTACTTGAAATTCAATTTCTCAGTACGATGGAATCATTGCAGAAACTTGAAGTTAGTCAGTGCCATTCCCTAGGAGCGTTGTGTGGTTTATCAAACTCGAAGAAGCTGGAGGATTTATGGATCAAAGAGTGCAATGGGCTACAGGTTCTTGAGGGCCTTGAAGAATTGGAGCTTTTGCATAAGTTGTCTCTTTTCAGTTGTCCATCGTTGAGGTTGGCTACTGTATCCAACACAAAGATACCAAGGAAATGCAAGATATTATACTCGCTTTCGTTTAAGATTCAATCAATGAAGAGAGATGGCTCAGGAAGACATTCAACGAGGTGTGCCTTCCTTGTACCCTTCACTTATTTTTTTCAAACTTTTATTTTTCGGAAACGCATGGAGTAGGTATGACTTTTCTTTCCCTGGTTCCATTGGCTTCCTTGTCTCCCTATCTGTCTCTGTTCTCTCTCTCGCTTGTATTAATTCATTTGTGTGCGTGGGACGTATAAATAGAGAATGAATAGACGTTCCACGTTTTGCGCTCTCGTGGCACATGTCGCACCTCTCTTCTCATGTGCATGGACCTTTCTATGGACCCAAAACTCTTCTTGCGTCGGTGAAGTGAGAAAATTTCGTTTTCTCGAGTGTGTTGGATGAAAATTTCATCTTTAGTGAACTCGATGTAGTCTCAAATATTGAAGAGCTCAAATATTGCACAATGAAATTAAGGTCGTTTTTAGAAAATAAAATGTAGTCTCTTGAGAACTTTGTGATAAAACGAAAATACTAAATGTCTCCTAAAACTAAAGTAACCCAAAATTTTCTTTTAATTGCGTGGGAATCGCTAAAGTGGAGAAATGATTCTAAGGTAGAAGATGAGATCCTAAAATATCACCTGAGTCAAAACTAAATTTCAATCAGAGAATTTCTACTTGCATGGAGTAGCCTTGTTAATCTAAACGCATAGACGCACTTAGTGGATAGTCTAGAAGGTAAACACCCGAGATAATTATTAACTCTTTCACATGTCAGCCATCCAATAGAGCGTACGTAAATTATTTCTTACGCTGGCAATTGACATTATAAGGATCCTTTATATAAACATGAAACCGATCATGTCAATATTTCACCAACCAAAGATAAAAGTCTGGTGCCCGCGCGCGAAAGATTGTTCGAATAGATTTCTCTAAAACAACTACATTTTTCCTTTAAAATTTAACATAAAAAGAGAAAAGTTTATAGAAAAATAAAGACGAAACTAACTCAGTTTTGGATTCCTTACCAAAAAAAAAAAACTAACTCAGTTTTGGTATATCTTTTTTCACTTTTTTAACTTTTTCATGGCTCACTGAATTTTTTTTTTTTCCTTTTTCTCGTGTTCGTGGAGAGTTTGCAAGTTATCTGGTGTAATTCCTTGGAAAGGTTGACTGATCTATCCAACACATGGATACCACACGAGTGCAACATCCAAGTACTGTGTTTCCCCTGTTCCATTTGTCCCTATATATAGCTCTCTCTCTCTCTCTCTCTCTCTCTCCTCCAACACACTTGCCTCGTTAATCATGAACAGTTCATACATAAATAAAACTGTGTGCTGCACCTAAAATTAGATTCATTAACGAGAGGTGCCTTTCTGAAAAAATAAAATTGAAAAAGAAAGCCACACCAACCAATACTTATTCAGAATTTTCGTGGAAAGAAAATAAACGTGTACCAAAAAAGATGAGCAGTGTACATATTTAGCACAACAACATTGCGGGCTCTCTGACACGTTGGTGTAAGAACGTGCATTGCACCTTCAATTGTTAGTGGGATGGTAACTCACTAATGGGTCGTATTGCCCACTTGACAGTAGTTATTGCAACTACGGATCAATTATGTCATGCGAGCGACAGTAGACTTTGCAATCGGCACATTTTTATCTTAAGCAATCATCGATCCTCTCATGCCCGATGATTGTACCATCATACACTCGGTCGTGTGACTGGCTTTCCCCAATGGTTCACGAATGCTTGTGAAGCAAACGACTGTAATGTTTGGACTTTAGGGCATGCTGATTAGATCATATTTGTATTTTCTTGTCCTCCCATAAAGGTAGAAGACTAATTTATCTTTTCCTGTTCTAGAAAATGAACGAAGATCCAGAAGATACAACGAAGGAGAATGACAGCATTGATTGTTCAGATTTGGAAGATTGAACGAAGAAGAACGACAGTGTTGATTGTTCCATATGCATATTAGAATGTATCTGCAAGCCCTTATGGTTTTTCAAGTGAGAAGTCTTTGGAGGCAGACAGGAGAAGTACATTGTCTTGCAGGATAATGCAGACGTGGAGTCAGGAAAAGCTGAATGGATCTCTATGCATTATGGTTAGGGGTACAAAAACTAAATCGATGGCTCCAAGAGAAACTTGCACTCTTCTTGATAAACTCAAGTGCACTGTGGTCGAGGGACAAGTTTCCTGGAAACAGGAATGCTGTTTGCGTGTGGATCTACTCTGCTTTATTTGGAAACGGCAAAAGAACACTACAAGTACCATAACTTGTGTACGGCGCTCACTTTGGTGTCATAAGTTTTTTTTAGATCACTTCAGTGCTAAAATTTTTTAAAAACGATCACTTAAGTGCTAAAATTTTTGAAAAACGATCACTTAAGTGCCAACTCCGGTGCCGTACACAACTTTTCGCCGGAAATCCGACGTGGCATTTTTTTATTAATTTATGAAGCTGACGTGGCTCGCCGGAGATTGGCACTTAAGTGATCGTTTTTCAAAAATTTTAGCACTTAAATTATCGTTTTTCAAAACTTTTAGCACTTAAGTGATCGTTTTTCAAAAATTTTAACACTGAAGTGATTCAAAAAAACTTATGACACTTAAGTGATCGTTTTTCCTCCGACTTGGTACCAAAGTGATCCGAAAAAAAGTTAT